ATTTTTCAGATTCCAAATTGTGCTCAAGCATTTCCGAATATGTAAACGTCTTTTGCATTATACATTTGGTTTTTAATAAATCGTTCATGTTTATGTGATACTATTCATAGCAATAACAATACGACAATATAATGGTTTTTTGTGTAAAATTGTTGAGATTTTTTATCGAACATGATTGATAACGATTGTTCTCATGCTTTTTTTAGACATCGAAAAGCGAGGAATCGAAGAAGTAGAAAGAGAGGAAGTAGACATGGAGACTGCATCAGCGCAGGATGGCAGTCATCTTCTAATGCACATGGAACCTCCTCAGAAAGCGCCATCGAACGACAACGATCCATTGAATGCGATTCAGTATTCATCAGCAAATAATTCTGTCAGCGAGACGATCAAAGATGAAATTGAAAAAATACCGAATGGAAATATAGTGAAAGAGTCGAATGACATTAACAACTCCGATAAAATTTCATCAAATTCACATCCAACTGCACCCATCTCCGAGCCATCACCAATAGAAATTGAACAAAAAGTGCTTACGGATATTGAGAAGACATCCATTTTTGCCAACGAATCACTAGATCATCCACAAGAACTGACTGAATCCTCTGCGGAAAATGCTAAAACCGAAATCCAGACAACGCAATCAGACTTACCACCAAACGATTCNGATTCGGACCAAATGATCAAAGAGGAATCAGTCGCAAAACAGCCGGAAAAATCTCCCGAAAAGTCTTCTGCTGATATTGTCACTCCACCGAAATCAACATCAGCCACTGAGACCGCAAAGCATCCAGCATCTAGCAATAGCGCAACAAAGCCGTCGCCACGGGTACCGTCAGCACCTAAAGGAAGACCAACGAGTGGTAGAACTTCAACTGCGACAAAGTCAACTCCTAGAACTCCGAGAGAAACTCCCAGAACCAATCAAGTGGGTGAATTTTCCTTCGTACTGAATTTGTTCGGAAGCAATGGATTATACCTGATGACCACGAAAAAATTGTACTTTTATAACTTTTCCATATGACAGTTTTGTAAAAATAGCACAACGTAACCACACTGTCAAACGACTGCTGAATCTTCCCTAAATCCATTGAGCGAATGCAATCGCATTTTGTACTGAAAATTTTTCATTTGTTTGGATTCATTAACGAACAGTTTGTCGAAAGTTTAATAGTAATTTTCGTACACTGATGAACTTTCACATCTTCAAGTCATTTTCTCCGTAGTTTATTTGTTTTACTCCCTAATTTTCTTCTTTGATGTGCATCCTAAAGCGCCACTGAAAGTTTGCATTAAAAAATTCCGAACTCAGTTTTTCACCGGTACACTCTAATTATTTTTAGGTGAATAAAGTTGTACCCTCAAAACCAAAAGTACCAACATCCACATCCTTAACAAAAAGTTTACCGCCTCGTGTATCGCGGATTGGAGGCACGAATGGTGCTGATCGCTCGTGAGTATTTTCAAGAAATATTTGTCACTTCATTATAATTTCTATCATCCTACGCATTGAATATGCCTGGATGCTCAATTCTTTTGTGCAGAACAAATTTCTGCTTCAGCAAGCATTTCCAATGTATTCCTTCATGCCATTCGGCATACACTTCCGTGTTTCATCAATTATTTGAGTGCAGAATGCAATCCAATCATCCATTTCATCTCAATCACTGTGTTATTATGGTCGTTTTCCAGACACGATGTTAGCAACACATTTCAAATCATATAGCCGATTATTCATTTATGATCATAAAAACGCATTCTTGACGTTCAGTCAGTTTCTCTACAACGAGTGTTTTATCAATGTCACTGATATATCATTCCAATCAGTTTCTAATAAACACCTGATTCAATCTTTTATTATGCGTCAGGATTACTGAAAATAAATCGAAAGCGTTATTTTTTGGGCACCGAATAAACTTCGCTTTGATTTTTTTTCAATAGTTGAATTCTTGACATTGTTTATTTCATTGAAAATCCGGATTTCTTGGATGCAGATTATAATCCCAAGAAATTATGAGTGTCTTCACAGCTGTTTGTGGGGATTATAAGTGGATTCTCGAGCTGGTGGGTGATACCTGTAAGTTATAAACATTCTCTTTTTATTGCCAGCACGTGGGTGAGTGATTGGGCTAATTCTGACAGTTGCTATTGCCGTTCAGAGTTAACAATGCATTTCGACGTGGATGTGAGTATTTTTTGATCGAAAAAGTTCGAATACTGATCAACGAATCATATAATGTAAAGACGAAAATAATTGTATGAGGGTGTTTTCCTTTGCGATGTGTCTCGGTATCCGAAAGGTTATTAGATGACTTTGAGGAATATATTGCTTAAGTTACCTTATATTGAAGAATCAGTGGGCTGTCACGAATGGGAACATGTAAAATCATGCAGAATTAGGTTATAGCAGTTTTGTGTTTGTGTGATTTTATGACGAGATTATATCCGTAATGAGAACAGAAATTTGGTTGTTGATGAAGAGGTATTTAGGTGCACTGGGAGCATTTTGGCTTTTTTTTTCACATTATTCTTTTGAGATACGCAAAAATTGAGTTATTTACGTTTCATTCCACTGATTTGATCTCAAATAACGGATATAAGCTTGGAAAGTCAGTGATTTCATGCACTCTTTTTCTAAGCATTTAAATGGATGGCTGCCGAATAGAGTATCACAGTGCAGTATCA